ATGTCTACTTCCTTACATCTTCTACACAGTAGTTTACTTTGTAACCGTCATGTCTACTTCCTTACATCTTCTACACAGTAGTTTACTTTGTAACCGTCATGTCTACTTCCTTACATCTTCTACACAGTAGTTTAGTTGTAACCGTCATGTCTACTTCCTTACATCTTCTACACAGCAGTTTACTTTGTATCCGTCAAGTCTACTTCCTTACATCTTCTACACAGTAGTTTAGTTGTAACCGTCATGTCTACTTCCTTACATCTTCTACACTGCAGTTTACTTTGTATCAGTCAATATAAATTTGAAAAAACGTAAGAGCGAATAGTATTATCAATACCACTCTTTTTCAAACATGAACTATCATATATTTGAAGCATGAACTATCATATATTTGAAGCATGAACTATCATATATTTCAAACATGAACTATCATATATTTCAAGCATGAACTATCATATATTTCAAACATGAACTATCATATATTTCAAACATGAACTATCATATATTTCAAGCATGAACTATCATATATTTCAAGCATGAACTATCATGTATATTTCAAACATAAACTATCATATATTTCAAACATGAACTATCATATATTTCAAGCATGAACCATCATGTATATTTCAAAGAAATGCATTTTTTTATTGCAGAAAGTTTACTTCTATTTTTACTTCCTTGTTATTTTCGTGGTCTTAATTCAGTCATGTTATTAGGTGCTATTTTATTATATGTTACTTTATCAGTTATGTCACTACTTCTCTCTTTCGTGCAATCTTTACGCTAACGAAAAGTCTCCGTTTACCTTTGGTTTATAAAACGTTTATAAAACTTAATGATACAGTTTTTTAATGGGATGAAATAATAATTTATTTATTTCCAATCTTTTTAGCTTATCTTACATATTTTAAATTTTATGATAAATGTTAATATTAATTTCCTTTCGTCTGTGAACTGAATAATTTATTTACAGAATGGACACAGATCTTATCTTCGTTTGTTTTGTAATTAAGCACAAAGCTACAAAATGGGATATATGTGCTCTGCCCACCACGGGTATCGAAACCCGGATTCTAGCGTTGTAAGTCCGCAGACATACCACTGTGCCACTGGGGGCGTTCTTATATTCGGTTTGAAAAGATCACAGGAACTAGTGCAAGATCCATAGTGTGTTTGAGGTAGGGGATATTCTCTAATACAATATCCATGAATTCAACTCTTTGTATGAGGAGGTTTCGTTAATTATTCAATAAATATTTGGGTATTTTTAATGTTTTGTCATAAATTACAAACACAGGGGACGGAAGAAATGTGAATTTGGAGAAATGTGGCATCAACGATTGAGGGTGTTTAATCGCTTTGTCACGAATTTGAACGAAAACACAGGTCTCAGTTCCTTATTCAAAAGAACGCTTCGTTATTAAGATAAAGGTTTGGGGCAAGTGCCCCCACTCCCCTTTTCTGCCGCCTGTGACTACAAAGCTTTCAAGGGTGGGGAAAATACTAATATCTTCGTTGTGTGTGTGAAAGATAATTATTTGTTGTATGAAACGTGTTTGTGTTTTTTTTTACTCCGTAATATACCCCAAAAAACGTGTTTGTGTTATTTTACTCCGTAATATATTCCAATAAATGTGTTTGTGTTATATTGCTCTGTAATATACCCAAGAAAACGTGTTTGTGTTATTTTACTCTGCAATATACAAAAAAAAACGTGTTTGTGTTTCTTACTCCGTAATATACCCCAAAAAAACTTGTTTGTGTTATTTTACTCCGTAATATACCTGAAAAACGTGTTTGTGTTTTTTTACTCCGTAATATACCTGAAAAACGTGTTTGTGTTTTTTTTTACTCCGTAATATATCCAGGAACTAGAAAGAGATCCAGTCTTTCTTGAAATTTCTCCATCAACTCGTATATCGTAAAGTTACCAAAGCTATTGTTCGTAAAATTAATTACATGAAAACGTCGTCTGTTTAAGGAATACGTAAATGTCAATTTTTTATGTACGTGACGTAACTGTTGGTCAACAGATGAAAGCATTCTTTAGGCGAGAAAATATGAATGCATTAAGAAAAAAAAATCATTGCCTACTTTCATACAGTAAAACCCGTGATTAATCGTGGTGGTTTAGTAAAAATACACGAGCGGTTTTAAGATAAACAGATTAGGAAAACTATGTGATGAATCTATGTTAATAATTCTCTCAGAATGACATCCCGAGCTGATGGTATATTTAGGATAAATAAACTTATCACTCGACTCGCAATCTGAG